TCCGGTCCCCTCATCATCTTTGTTGCTCTTCTCTGCACTTTTTCTAGACTCTCAACCTCTTGTTTATAGTGCAGAGATTTGCTTAACCATGACAACATAGGTCATAAAATCAGACACAACTCACTTAAGAACTGACTTGCCTAGCAATGCAAATTTTTGACCCAATTCTGGGTCTTGCTGTCTCATCTCATGATTGTTTTTAATCTTGTATTATGAATAGGCTGGAAATAATTTTGATTTCACAGGCCTGTGAGATGGTCTCTGGGCACCCCCAGAGATTCTTGGACCATATTTTAAGAAATAGTGGCTTAATGTATTCCGTGCACCCAATCATTACAGTTTACTAACTACGGTGCCTAAATACATCTGATTGGTTTCTTCAATACAGAATGAACAAACATTATGGCTTAGCAAAAAGTGTGAATCCAAGCAGAATGCATGTGCAAATATTTATATGTGCTTGGAGACAGCAGGGACGAATTTAAAAAAAAACAAACTTGTCCATCCAACGAAATCTGAATCTCAGAAAAGATCTTTCTAAATTAAAAAAACATCGAGAGAATGTTCACGTAATAAAGGAAGCAAACCTTTGAGATATGCATGGCCCAAATCTGCCCTGAATGTTTAATTAACTGGCCTTAATTATCTTGTGAAATGGATGGACGGAATTTGCACATGGTATGTTGAATTGCCTAAGGCAGGGATGTCAAACTCACAGTGTCACGTGACGTGTCGTGACTTTTTTTCCATTGCCGGCAATGGGGTGGGCGCGGTTTCGCCATGACGCATCCGGCCCGCGGGCCAGCAGTTTGACACCCCTGGCCCAAGGGGAACCAGCATCTAATAGCAACTAACTGTTGGCTTTATATATCACCCAAAACTAAGAAAGTTCAGATCATGGCAGTGACAGAGAAATTAAAAAAAATCTAGAATGGATTGAATATTTTGTTTCCCACAAAACAACAGAATTACAGAATTGGATGGGACTTTGGAGGTCTTCTAGTCCGACCCCCTGCTCAAGCAGGAGACCCTATACCAGTGCTGGCGAACCTTTTAGAGACCGAGTGCCCAAACTGCAACCCAAAACCCACTTATGTATCATTGGGTGCCGGTTGGGCATGGCCATACGCGTGCCATAGGTTTGCCACCACGGACTTAGGGTTAGGGTTACATCACCATGAACTCGGAGAGCAAAATGGACATTGCCAACAAATTCAGAGTGCTTGGATATGGTTAGGAGGGCACTTACTTTTCTAGGCTGCCCTATCCGTGTTTCCTGGTAAAATACATGGGAAAATCCCATTGGAGGAAAATTCCACTTAGGGTTAGGGTTAGGCCACCATGAACTCATAGGGCAAAATGGACATCACCAACAAATTCGGAGTGCTTGGGTATGGTTAGGAAGGCATTGACTTTTCTAGGCTGCCCTAGATATGTTTTCTTGTAAAATACATGGGAAAATCCCATTGGAGGAAAATTCCAGTTAGGGCAGTGATGGCGAACCTTTTAGAGACCGAGTGCCCAAACTGCAACCCAAACCCACTTATGTATTGTCAGGTGCTGGGTGGCCGTGGCCCATTGGGTTGGTGTGGCCCATTAGGTGGGTGTGGCTGAGGTGGTAATGGCAGACTGGGTGGGACTAAAAAGTTCAATCAATCAATTCCAACTTCGCGAGATCTTTTTTTCCCCCAAATTGATTGATTGATTGAACCTTTTTTTTTTGCACACAGCGGCGGAGGCCTAAAGCGAAAAGGTTTTATAAAACCCAGCTGAAGGCCTAGGACTGGGGCGATGGCGCGGGTGCCCATAGAGAGGACTCTGCGTGCCATCTGTGGCATACGTGCCATAGGTTCACCACCACGGCCCTATACCATTTCAGACAAATGGTTGTCCAGTCTCTTCTTAAAAACCTCCAGTGATGGAGCACCTATAATTGTATTTGAAGAGGTCAAAAGAACTTCAAATGAGGTCTTCTAACAAACATTCTTATCTTTCTCAAGATATAAATGCAAACTGGCAAGGCAATTCTTTGCAAAAAAAAAAAAAGAGGCCTCTTCACCTAAGTAAGAAATACATTTTTTTTTTGTTTTTGGAAAAACAACTGTATCCTGATATGAACTTTGTATTATGATGCACCAACTTCAGAGGAGGGGAAAGGAAATGGAGAAATGGAAAAATATGTTTGCTTTGGACTGAAATGGAGATAACGTTATTTATGTCTTCTTAACCATGCCAGACAGTGGTTTTAAAAGTGTACCCCTGACCTTTTAAAATCATTTTTCTTATGCCATCCCACAGAACACAAATTACCACAGAGTGGCTTTGATTAAGTTCCTGAGAAAACCATACCCATCAAAAGTCTTACGGATTTCAGATATGGGAAGATTCTATATTTTGGGTTTTATAAAGATCCAATTCTTCTGAAATTCTTCTCAGGCTCGCCCTCAAAATCCAACAATGAACATGACCGATAAGATGCACCTCTCAATCTCCAAGCTCAGAGATGTTCTGGGAATCACTGCTACAATATTTGACTTGCTCTGAAGCTGGAACTCACAAAACGCATAGATTTCAGTAACACATCGCAAAGAAAATACACGCTATCACCTTTGTCTTAGATAAAAGAGACCAGACATTCAACCCATCTACAATGGTGAATTCCAAATCTCAAAATTCATGCTAGCAAAGCTGGGGAACCAACGCAATTCAGGGATGAGAAAAGTAAGGTCCTGCACATAGGCAAGAAAAACCAAATGCACAGATATAGAATAGGTGGTACCTGGCTGAATAGCGGTGTGAGGAATAAAAATTCAACTCCAAAGATGTTGGAAAACAGAACAAGTTTTATTAAAGCCTCTGCAAAAGCTGGTGGAACTCTTGGTAATGGCAAATCCCAGAGTCCACAACTGAATCAATTTTTGCATCGGTTTTTATACCCTGTCCCGTGACTTGGAAGAATGCATTTTTCCCTTCCCCGATAGCTGTGGCAAGCCGAAAAAAACAGAAGAAAGATGGCTGTAACCAAAAGTAGTTTTGTAGGCTTGACAGTAACAACATGTCCTTCAGCGAGTTGGCCACAGCAAGTTATCTCACAGCAAGTTGACCATGGCAAGTTGGCCCGTTCCAGTTTGGGAAAACCAGCCAACGTGAGTTGAGAATGAAGGCAAGCTGGCTGCTAGGCTAAATTCTTCGTTCTTTATGCTTTCTTATTGGTGATTAGTCAGCTGGAAAGAAGTTGAAGTTCTCTGCATTGGAAGGATGTGGGTAATCACAAGCCAGGTTGAAAGGATCTGGGATGGCTAGATATGCCAAGGGCGATTGGAAAGTCCTTTTGATCAAATGATTGCAGCATTCCTAAATCTAACCAGAGAATACCCGTGTTAAAAAAATCTTTTAGATGCATCTTATTTTCATATTTGGTGGACATACATGTAGGGAAGTTAAAGCATTTTGGATTAAGATATGGTGGAATACTCAAAATATTTTTAAGAAAAAGATAAAGTTTAAGCCGCAGATATTTTTGTTGGGTATTATGCAAGACTTGGAATTGATGTTGAACTTTATAACTGCTGCAAGACTATTAGTAGCTCAATATTGGAAAACGGAACGTTTACCTACTATAGAAGAATGGTCATTTAGCAGAAATGGCCAAGATTTCCGCTTATGTGAAGGATCACTCGCAAGAAAGATATATTTTGGTTTGGAGAAGATGGATAGATTGTATTGAGCGTAAATATGGGACTAAAAATATCATTTGGTTTTTGAGTAAATTTTAGAGTATTATGGTTGTATAAAGGTTAGAATATTTTATTTAGTATTATTTTTAATTATTAAAGTGTTATTATTATTGTCTTTAATAATTGTACTGTTTAAAAGAGAGTTAAAGGAGGTTATAGATATGTTATTTTAATAGTTGATTAATGTTAATTAGAGTATGATTATGTTATTGTTAACCCTGTGATTGGCACTGGGAAGTGAGGGGGGNAAAAAAATTCAATAAAAAAAAATCTTTCCTTATATATTACTCCTTCCCTCCCTTGTGCAGCTGCTCAACAAAACTACTGACCAGCTGGGGTGTGTGAGTGTGTCAAAATCCGCAAGATGATGGGTTTGGTGTTGCAACCAAAGACCCATCCTTTTGTATATTGAAATATTTGCTTGCAGCAGCCTAGGAAATTCCATCTTGACAGGAACAAGGAGGTTTAAGGGAATTGGACACGACCCTGCCAGTGCTTACCTGCCCTTGCATGAAAACAAGAATTACACATCTGCACTCCGCTCACATAATATTAATTCGGTAATATCTTTGCTGGCCTCCTCGGCCTGATCTCCTGTTAAGTATTTTTGCAGAGTTCAGTTCTACCTACAGGCAGAAAGGTGGGAATTGGAAATTCCACACCTGGAGGGCACCAGATGTGACACAGCTGTTTTAGAAACACTATTTAACCAACTTGGATGCTCTGCTTATGCAAACATGGTTCCTCCTGTGCCAGCCAACGTGTTTTGTTTTTTTTCCCCTGCCAGCTATTTTTTTACTTCCAAACATCTGCCGATTTTATTCTGGAATTCAGTTAGTGAGGAAAAAAAAATATATTGCTGGAGTTTGATATTTTCATTGTTAATGATGTGAATAATGAGCAGCGTGGTGGCCTAGTGGTGAAGACGCTTGCCTCCCACTCAGGGGGTTGAGAGTTCGATCCTAGGTGGTGGCAGATGTTTCTCTCCTAGATGTTTCAGATCCAGTTGGCGTTTAATCTCATTTCAATCAGTGAGTTTCATTTTCAGCATGATTAACTTTCCTGGGGAGTTATAAAAGAACCACAATGCAGTTAACCTAGTTTGGATCCACTTATTGGACCTGGTTCACAGAACACATTATATTTGATATCATCATTTAATCAATAAACCATAAATTAAATTAAAACCCAACATATTAGGACATGGTGCAGTTGGTTTGGATCGTTTACGATGTAGGACTTTTGGCAAGCACAGTCTAAATCTAAAGCTAAATAGACATAGTTTATTGTAACTTATTTAGAAAGGATATGGTTAAGGAAATTTGGCTAAATAAAATGCATGAACGCAGCGTAGAGTTTATTTTTTTTAACTGCATGGTTTTGCAAATGTAAAACAGATACCATATTTACATCTGCATGTTTACATTTTCTGAAAGTGCATACACAAATCTTCAATCAATTCCGATATAACTTTGCAGGAGATCTCCCAACACCAAACCTGCTTCGTTGCACAGTTGTGAGATGACCAACATAGTTTTCTGTTATTCTCTGATCCTTTGCAGAGGAGTCATCCCAGCTGAGTATTGAGCATCCACGTTCCTCATTTGGGGAAAATCTGAACACTTGAATCTCTCTCGCCTCACGTCACCTTGATTTCAGGGGCAGAGAACCAAAGGTGTAACGAGCTCCCGAAGGTGGACCAACTGCCTTACTTCTTGCTTGACGCCATTAGTAACATTGCTTTTACTCCCTGTGGTTTACTGGGGAAGCCCTGTCCTTAAATGACTTTTTATTTCCCACAGCTCCACAATCCGCTTTTGCACAACGTGAAAATAAAAACCTTGTGCTCTGCCGCCGTTAAGGAAAAAAACAGGATAGTTGAGAGCCTCCTCGGGTCAATGTCATGCCAAAAATAGCAAATTGTGTTGCTTTTCCTCAGCGGGCAGCCCATTCTTTTCATCCAATCCAGGTATTTATGGACGTATTTACAGAGGATGAACATCTCTGAAAAGTAACTCCAGGCATCCCTTGGACCGATAAGGCCACAGTGTAAACCGAACGGAGATTCAGGTTTAATTCACAAGGTTTACTTGGAGCCTTCTCAGCAAAAGGCTGCCTTTACTGCTGGATAGTACAGTCACGACAGTCTCGGCAGCCTTTTCCCCCAAACTCAGACAAGTGTCAATCAAAGCACGGGTCCGTCCCATCAAAGTCGGGTACGAGGAGATCATTTCGTAATCTGCCCTGGGTAAGAGCTGCTGGGCGCGTAGGACGTCCAGGAGGTGGTTCAAACGCCCTTCGGTCATTGAGCTCAAGATGGCTTCTCGCCCCAAAGTGAGAATGGAGCAGTTTTTTTCTTTGCTGGGAGGACCTGAAATACAGCGGAGCAAAGATTGTGAGAATGCAAGCGTCGGACATTTCCTGATTCCTCCGTAAACCATTTGCCAGTGGAATTTACAACTGGGAAGGACCATCTCTTCCCCAGACAGTCCATCACTCAAAGACCCTTCTAAAATAAAGAGCTGACAATAATGATATTTTAATCACACCTTTTCATAACTATAAAGCAAACATATCTAATATTCTTGCCTCCTACAGTATTTTGAATGAACACAGCTCTTTCATATGGGATTCACACCTTATTCTAAGCCATGCTGTAATCAAAGGTTTGCTGAATAAAATGAGGACCCAGATTGTTGGGGACAATATGCTGACTCTGTAAACCGCTTAGAGAGGGCTGTAAAGCCCTGTGAAGCGGTATATAAGTCTAAGTGCTATTGCTATTGCACATATTAAGCTATAAACTTATGATTTATAAATCAAATGGAGTTGTGCAATATTGTCAAGAGTGAAAATCTGGCAGCTATGTGCCTCTCTGTTTTCATCTTGCCATTAGAATAGGGGGGTGGGAATTGTTGCTTTCAAATGAGTTAGTTTAATGTCAGCTTCCAACTCAAGTATCCAAATAAAAGTCCAGGATTATTTTCATTTCTGAAAAGCTTACTGTTGGTTGAATACCTCGCCTTTTCCAGGCCACGTATTCAATAAACAATAAGCTTTTCAGAAATGAAAATAATCCTGGGCTTTTATTTGGATACTTGAGCTGGAAGCTGACAAATATGTTAAACCACAACTGTTATGATTTAGCACACTGGAAAGCAAGCACAATATTACACTGCCAGTAATTCTCTTAATTGAATGCATTAAAATGGAATGCACTGTTGCTACCCACAATCCTGGCTTAATTTTAATTCTCACCTATCAATGTGCCATTGGGCCAACGGTCTGGACAGTTCTTGGGATAGTCTGGTTCTCCCATTTTTTGTGGAAATAGAGGCTGGTGACCTTTGAATTCATTGCTGCAGGGCCTAGTTTTATTGTTGCTCGTCTTTGAATGGGGTGGAAGGACGATGGATGGAGGACTTGATCCTTTGCTGGCACCCATAGATGGATCTGCAAGAAGGAAGTGTTGAGAGGGACACATGAATCGTTTTATTAGTCATGTAAACGGAAGAACCTCCATTCTCTTCGGTTCATACCAAATAAGGAACACACTGTATAGTGTTTGTTTGTTTCTTAGATTTACAACCGATCAAAGATTCTCCGGGGCTTCCACAATGTGTAACAGAAAAATCAAAACACTCATGGTATAACTAAAAGATCTTAACATCACAATCACGACAACTGAGAAAACAAAAATCAAGAACGAAGGAATAGTGATAAAATGCAGGTGATCCTCAACTTACAACCACAATGGAGCCCAACGTTTCTGTTGCTAAATGAGACATTTGTGAAGTGAATTTTGCCCCCATTTTACAACTTTCCTTGTCGCCATTGTTAAGTGAATGAGTGCAGTTGTTAAAGTTGTCAAGTGAATTTGACTTCCCCCTTGACTTTGTTTCTCAGAAGGTGGCAAAAGGGGATCACGTGATCCCGGGGCACTGCAACCGTCATAAATATACGAGTCCGTTGACAAGCGTCCAAATGTTGATCACGTGATCATGGGGATGCCGCAACAGTTGTCGATGTAAAAATAGTCACAAGTCACTTTTTTCAGTGTCTTGGTTTACCTGATGCTACTTCCAATCTTTGAATGTGTTGCTTACAAATGAGGATTATGGACAGATGATTATAATGAAATATGGTCATTTTTTACTGACACGGTTGTGTAAAACTGTATATGTATGTCAATGAAGGCTCAATCATCCAGGCCAAAAGTAGGTTAAAATGTTAAATCATGACAACTGACCAATGTTTGTTAATCTGAGATGTTTTGTTCTTCATCCAAGTAACTTATTACTATTATTATTATTATTATTATTATTATTATTATTATTATTATTATTATTATTAGTCAAAATAAAGAAAAAATAGGGAGACAATCACAGAGTCATTGGAACATACTAACTCTTGCCACACCAACTGCAGGGATTTCATCCCAAAATGTATTTCAATATATACTGTATATATGTATATTCATGCATGAGAAGCCCTCGTATATATATAATTTTTATTTTGTTTCCTTTTTCTATTGGTTTCTTTTTTCTTATTCTGCTCTGTTTCAGAAAACCCCACATACACACACAAAACATAATTTTCATTTCTATTTCTCTTCTGTAAAGTAACCTTGATGTTTCATATTAAGTTCTTCTTTGGACTTTTTTTTTATCAGATTTTCTAATGTGTTGGAAGAAGCAGTCCGATTCATACATGCAATGTGCTGTTTTATACCTACACACCCAAAAATGATGTGTTCCTGATCTAAACTTAAAAACAGAGGGGAAGAGAAATCAGAGGGGAAGCAACTCCAGGGTGACCTTCAAACTCCAGCTTTGTTTGTTCAGACTTGTTTTACATCCTGCTGACATGCCACAATCTTGTTAGAAAAATAACTTAAAGGACAGGCAGACGACAGGTTTGAGCCATCCACATACCTTTCAGCTGCTTAGCCCAGAGACTCTGGTTGAACTCACTTGAGTTCAACAGTCAGCAACAGAGCCAACGAAAGAAAAAACATTAAGTATCTGAACACCCAAAGGAAGGATGTTGTAGATTATGATCATTCTTTGGCTAAAGGGAAACAATATATTTTTGGGGGATCTTGATTTCTGGGTATGAGACTCCATGTCTCTATGGAGAATCTCTATGGAGATTCTCAATCATCCAGGTCAAGGTTGTCCCAAAGCTGTTTTTTTTTCAAAAGGCAATAGGACTTTCTTAGTATTTTCTTTGAAACACACACACACACACACACACACACACACACACACACACACCAAGAAAGCCCAGTTGTCTTTTTGGGAAAAGCACCTTTGGGACACTGGTTCCATGTCTTACAAATTCAAGATGGGTCTGTTTATAGGTTTACCGGCAGGATTAGGGCGTAGAACAGAGACCTTCTGTTGGGTTTCTGCCAACGACATTTTGAAGGCAATTCTTTGATGACCAAGTCAAACCAGGATGGACATGGTCTAATCATTGTGGTTGGATGGCATGTTCTTTAAAACTACTTGTCTGGTTTTCAAAACTGGTTAGCCAAACCCCCTGGGCTGGCTTTCCTTCCCATTCCGTTCATTTTTATGTTTTTAGATAATCTTCTCTTTTAATTTCTGTTTCACACTTACACTTGGTTCACTGTTAACCCTATTTTTAGGGGCATTGTTAGCAACTCAATAAATATTTCTTTTCCATTTTCCAAAACTGCGAAAGTTAATCGTGACATTCCGTCTGGTTGCATTTCACCACCAGGAGAATTCGCACAAATACACACCCGTCTCTACAAGCCGTGCTCTCTTCATATAATTGTCAATGTCTTGCTGAATTAGGACTGTACATTTCTTTGACATTTTTCCTTAACCTCCCTCCACCTTCGCTTAGAATCAACACCTCCCACTTAAACTTTATTTAAGAGCTAACAGAAAGATTACCTCTTTCTAAGGTTGTCTGTTGAGGAGTCTTGCTGACAAGGATTGTCTGGTTCACTTTATTCATTGGACTTCCTGTTTCACATGATAAACTCTGTGGCTTTAACACAATTTCCTTGTTGGGTACATTGTTGTTCTGAGGACAGATGATCTAAACAAAGCAATGTGAAATGACATCATTTGCAATAACAATATTAACCAAACCTTTCACTTTCTACAGCTGCACATTTTTAGAAAATTGTATAAATTCGAATGAAAAAAATAAATAAACAAAACCTGGCTTCAGATAATCCTCAACTTTACCAGCACGGTTGGGACCAAAATGTCTGTTGCTAAGTAACACAGTTAAGTAAGTTTTGTCCCCTTTTACGACCTTGCTTGCCACAGTTGTTAAGTGAATCACTGCAGTTGTCAAGTTAGTGACACAGTTGTTAAGTGAATCTGGCTTCCCCATGGATTTTGCTGGTAAGAAAGTCACAAAAGAGGATCACGTGACCCCGGGACACTGCAAACCGTCATAAATGGGGGAGGTTCCTGTGGTCAGCTGACCACAATTTATGAAATTTCTTTTACTGGAAACCAATGTTTACTTCTAGTTTCCAGTAAAAAAAATTCCCCATAGCAAACAATGAGTCCGCTTAATGACCACAGCGCTCACTTAATGACAGCTGCAAAATATATATATATATCATACGATCAGGCGTGATCATGTGGCTTTATGACCTTCCTGGCTTACAATCGAAATTGTGCGCTTAAGTTCTGGTTGCGTGAAAAGGGCTATCTGTAATCAAATATGAAGGACAATGGCTAAATTTAATACAAGTTTCCTAAGCCGTCTCTACTCACCTCTAAATTGCGCCTCCCTGTTTCAAGGTGGTGAGAAACTGGACCTTTGGCAGCATTAATTGCACATTCCTGAAAGACAAACGGAGGGCCGTGAAATCATGTTCCTTAGACCTCTGTTTCTTAGAAAAACATCTGCTCTGCCATGTCATCTCTTGCTTCCTTGCAAACGTAAACAGGAGTTATTAAAATCCTGCTTATATTTCTATTCTATTCTATTCCATTCCATTCCATTCCATTCCATTCCATTCCCTATTCTATTCTCTATTCTTTTCTCTATTCTTTTCTCTATTCTTCTCCATTCTTCTCTATTCTTCTCCATATTCTATTCTATTCTATTCTATTCTATTCTATTCTATTTCAATTTTGATTTCTATTCTATTTCTATTCTATTTCGATTCTATTTCGATTCTATTCCATTCCACTATTCTATTCTATTCTATTCTATTCTATTCTATTCTATTCTATTCTATTCTATTCTATTCTATTCTATTCTATTCTATATTATCTACCCTACCCTACCCTACTCTACTCTATTCCATTATTCTATTCTATTCTATTCTATTCTATTCTATTCTATTCTATATTCTCTACTTTACCCTACCCTACCCTACCCTACCCTACCCTACTCTACTCTATTCCATAATTCTATTCTATTCTATTCTATTCTATTCTATTAATTTCTCATGCTGAAAGAAAGAGGGAAAATGCCAACATTACTATAGTGGATGGTGTTGCATGGTGTATTTCAAGCACAAAAGGAGATCATGATTATCCTAACCATAATTAGAGGATTTTGTAACCAAGCTTTTCTAAAATGGTGGTTTCTGAAAAGAAATGATCCACAGCCGAAGAACAGGGGATCCCAAACTCTCTTTTGGCTCACCTTGGCATGAATCAGGTTGTAAACTGCATCAGAAATCCTCTCCTTTGGAAAGGTTTGGAGGATATCCTTTAGAAATGCCGCACATTCTGTCAACAGAAAAACGCAGGGATCATATTTCATTTGCTCCCATTTACAAAGCTTCCATCCCTCAGTCCTTCCCATGCAATCTTTGCTTGAGTGTGGCTTTTTCCAAGGGGATTCCATGCACATTGCAGCCGGCAAGACTTTCACACAGATAAGAATAACATAGCACTTCTCTAGAGCAGGGGTCTTCAAACTTGGCCCTTTTATGACTTTTGGACTTCAACTCCCAGAATTCCTCAGCCAGCATGGCTGGCTGAGGAATTCTGGGAGTTGAAGTCCACAAGTCATAAAAGGGCCAAGTTTGAAGACCCTTGCTCTAGAGCAGTGTTTCTCAACCTGGGTCACTTTAAGATGGATGGGCTTCAATTCCTAGAATTCCCCAGCCAGCCATCACTGTTTTATTTTTTTGCAGCAGTGGGGAAGAATATTACCTGCAGTGCTAGGTCTACAGTGGGGTTCTTGATGCCAGCAGAGAAGCATAAGCCGGACCAGCCCGTTCCGATGAGGCAAACCATTTGGGATGAACGCCGGTTCAATCCCTGGGCGCAGACCGTTGCAGACCCCAGTCACAGCTTGAAGCAAAGTCTTTTTTCCTATAGTAAGAAAAAAAAATAACACTGTACAGAAGCTGCAGGAACTCTGCTACTAACAGCCTACACCAGGGATGTCCAACCTTGGCAACTTTTAAGACCTGTGGACTTCAACTCCCAGAATTCCCCAGCCAACCAACACAGGGAATTCTGGGAGTTGAAATCCACAGGTCTTAAAAGTGGCCATAGTTGGATACCCCTGGCCTATACATTTATACTGGAGCACTGATATATAAACTACATGAAAAAAAAAGCTAAAAAGAAAAAACACAAGAGGGCAGCATTAAACCAAAAATCAGAATATTTTTTTTAAAAAACCAGTTCTTCACAGAACTTGTACAAAGTTGCAGCCACAGATAATATTTTTGCAATTTCCATATTAATAATTTGGCTGATTTCTGGTAGACAGACAGAACACAGAAATGCACAACTGAAGCAATTTAGGAGTAACTTGAAATGGTTACTAAGCGATTGGTTGTGAGTCAAGGAGTACCTGGACAGTATTTGCCATCATGCAACATCAAGACAAGGTGAGATTCCAGTCCGATTACATGCAGGAAAGGAGCCAGTCCAAGGAAGATTATCTTAGATAGAGCGTTTTATTAGATAGCTTACCTGTCAGTGGCTTTTGTCGACTTAGGAGTTCCCAACACATCATCCCAAAACTAGGCAATGAAAAGGAAAACCAGGTGTTATTTGCTAACATCTCTCATCTAAACAGTTTCCCCAGCCCAACACACCTATTCTATTGGAAGTCCAAATTCGAATGACTCCTCAGCACCTCTTGGCCTCAGAGAGCACCAAAGACCCTTCATTTCAACCCCAAGCTACAAATATTCTCCTTTACTGATAAATGTGAGTGCATCCTTTTGTCTCAAGGTTTTATTCTCCCTCTTATCAAGATCATGCGAAGTATTAGTACCGCTTTATAATGCCTTAGTAAGGCCACACTTAGAATATGGCATCCAGTTTTCATCACCATATTATAAAAAAAGATGTAGAGAATCTGGAAAGAGCGCAGAGAAGAGCAACAAAGATGATTAGGGGGCTGGAGGCTAAAACATATAAGGAACGGTTGCAGGAATTGGATTTAATAAACTCTATTTTGATTCAAAACTGAGGGTCCAATGCATTAAAAAAATTCTGAAATAGGATCCTATCAAAGACTAAATTCCTGGCCTATCTGTTGCTTCTGACGAAGCCATCAATAGGATACAATAATAACTCTCCTGCTTGCAGTTATTCCACAACTCATAACACACTCCTTCTATATTTCCATCATGCTAACACACTCCCAGTTCTCCTCACAGTTGGAACCCAGCAGTCAGTAACAGCATCTTGATGAGGAAGAATCAGCTCCAAAAATACTGATTACTCCATTGCTAGAGGTCAGTGGGGAAATTTACGACTTCCTTCTTCCTCCAGTTCTGAAATCTAATACAAGCCTACTATGAAAAGTAAAGAAGCAACTTGGTTGGGCTCCTGGCCAGATGATCCAGAAGGCTCCAGGTTAGCTAACCCTGCCATACCGTCGAACCGTGGCCTCACCTTGACAAACAGTGCCCTGCGATCCTGTTTGAAAAGAAAGACTCACCTGTAAACATCTCCTTCAGGTGAGAATGGGCCTCCTTGCAGCATTTCAGGAGACAGGAAGAGCAAATCCCAGCAACTACTGTTGCTACAGTTTTCCAAAGCTGCCCTCAGCTGCTGTTTTCTCCAGGTGGGTTGGCCAAAATCCGAGATCTGCAAAATGGAAAGATAAGTTTACGAAACCAGGGCGGACCAGTCACTACGGGTAAATCCTCAAATTGCAGTCAGTCATTGAGCAATTTGTCAGCTGCCAACCTTCGCTTTCTTTGAAGCTCGCTAATCGAGGGGGCGGGGGGCGTTTGGGAGGAAAAGAGTGCTGGAGGTGTGAAAGAAGGCTGTGGGAATTTGGAGAAGGATGGAGACTGACAGGAACTAGAGGTGCCTAACCAAGCCATCTTCTTCCTGCCTTCAAGGCCGCCGGCCCTGTGAAAGGAATTTACAGCGGCACCTGAGCCCCCCCCCTGTTCTCAAAACATCAGAAGAGAGCCTGATTGGACTACTCTCCCAGGGGGGAGGGTTTTGGACGTTGGGGATTGCTTTCAATATGCAATATTCGCGGGGTTTTCATTCAGAGCTTGCCTCGCTCTTGCTGCACTCCGCACCTCTAGTAAAAGTACCTTTTCTCTAACACCTAGGGCAGAGTTCCCAACCTTTCTAAGAGAGGGAAGAGGGGAGGATATTGTGGGAGGGACAGGTGCACACATGCACGCGCGCCCCTGCGTGCTCACGAGCACCTGTTGCTCACACCAGTGGGGCCAAGAGCACTTGCGACACTCGTGCAAGTGCGGCCCTGAGCGCCTGCAATGCTAGCACAAGTGGGGCCACGAGGACCCACGTTGCTCACGTGAGTGGGGCTGAAAGCACTCGCAATGCTCACCTGAGTGGGGCCCTGGGCACCTGCGATGCACGCCCAAGTGGGGCCAACAGCACTTGCGATGCTCGCATGAGGCCCCGAGCGTCCACGACACTCGCACGAGGCCCCAAGTGCTTGCAATGCTCACGCAAGTAGGACCCCGAGCACCTGCAACGCTTGCATGAGTGGGGCTGTGTGTGCGTGCACACCAGCCAGCCACTCACGCAGCCCGGTTGCAAATAGGCCACGGCTCGTAGTGGGTCACAACCCACAGGTTGGGGACCCCTGACCTATGTAGGGAGCAGGCTGTAGTCAGTCTGACACAACTGCCTTAAGTGGTAACAGCACTAAAAAAAACCACTTATGGCCGATCCTAACATTTATGACGGTTTCAGCATCCCCACAGTCACATGGTTTATGTTTGGGCACTTGGCAACCGGCATGCATTTACAATGGCTGTCGTATCCTGGAGTCATGTGACACCCATTGGTCACCTTCCCACCGGCTTCTCACACACAAAGTCAATGGGAACGCCAGATTTGTTTAATGACCGAATGATTCACTTAATAACTGTGCTGATTTGCTTAATGACTCTGTCAAAAAAAGGTAATGAAATCAGGCAAAACTCACTGGCTTAGCAATGGAGATTTTTGCTCTCAATTATGGTAGTTGAAGATTACCTGTACTTCAGGAAAAGCCCTATGCAATTAAAGTATTGTTCTGACAGCCAGTCAAAAGGAAGGGGAGGAAAAAAGACATATTTGAACAGCCTACCTTAGCTCTATATTCTAGATCTAACAACACATTGGAAGGTTTGAGATTGTGGTGAAGGACAGGAGGCTCCAAACTGTGAAGATAACTTAGACCGTTGGCAACATCTGACAGGATCCTTATGGCCAAAGGAACAGGCAGCTCTGGATAGAGTTCACGCTGGGGGGAAAAAAGTGTTTATTTAATACACTGTTTTTCAAAGCATTGATTTAATATCTGCCCCATATTTCTATATTAAAGGTATTAGACATTGGCAGGCAGATTCTGAGCTCGTCTTGCTACTAGTGAAAAATGGATAAATTAACCCGGAATGGTTTGCTTCGTGTGAGATGCTGGTTTGGCATGGCCTTTGCAAGCTAAGATGATAAACCAACTTTTGTTTTTGATTTGAGAATGGTAGCTTATTTGAAGGAACAAGCTGAAGTCCCCTTCTGGTGTGCCAAGAAGCTGAATCTCTGCCTGTCCTATTTCAAGAGCTGCTCTTCTGGGCAATAGTGCCTTGTCTGGCCCTCATTCTCTTCATGCCATTGCTTCATTGTCAGGCTCCCCAAACCAAGATAGACAGCCAGTGTTTCTTCCAAGTAATTTCTTTATTATTCCATTCCTTTAGACAGAATCTTGCCAAACTGAAGCACGCTGCTTACTACAACAAGCCTATACTCTGGGAACTGTTACGGAGAAACCGTCTTCACCCTCTTTTTCTCACACAAACTATCTGAGCTAAGCTGCCTCTTACTTCACTAAAAGGCAGCCCCTCCCTCCCGGGAATCCAGCTGCTTACTCCATTCCATCTACAGGAGAGACAGCCCAGGGAATTTTTATCCCGCCTTCTCTGACTTACATCATGAATGAGCAAACAGAGCGATCCATTGTGCATCCATGTTGTTGCAAGCCCAAGGAAACCTTGGAACTGGCAAATACCCAAAAGAGGCAAGAGATGGTTGCATTGTAAACGTTGAATGTTTGCTGCTTCTTGGAGCAGGGCCTTGAAATCTCTGCAAGGGTGAAAAAAAGATCGGCATGTCACACCGTTTCAATAGAACAAGACAACATCATTTCTTACTGCAAAATGATTCATCAGTGTGCTTCCATTTCTCCCCCCCCCCCTTTGATTATAAAGTTGTTGTGACAGGAGGGATGCTGTGACAGCTTCAACTTTGGGGATGAGTTCTAATTCTGCACAAGACCTTAAGAATAAATGCATACAAAGACAGAATTGAGAAGACAGCAACAGATTAGCAAATACTGCCTCGGCAAAGAAGCTGACGAAACAGTGGATCGCCTGTTTAGTCAGTCTGTGGATCGCACAGACTGACTACAAACAACAGCACGATTAGGTAGCAACAATCTTGCACTGCAAGGAATGCCGTTTGCCTGCAAACAAGAACTCGGGGGGGGGGGGACTAGAAATTAGATACAGTAATAGAAAACAAAGAAGCTAAAATGCTTAACACCCCAAACTTAACAATTGTCAATAAGAAAGAGGAGAGAAGTCTGGATAATGGATGTGGCAGTACTTGGGGACAGCAGAATAGAAGAGAAGGAATTGGAGAAGATAACAAAACACAAAGACCTGCAAACAGAACTAGAACAACTGTGGCAAAAGAAAGCAAAGATTGTTCCAACAGTCATAGGTGTCTTGGGTGCAATCCCAAAATAACTGAAGCAATACTTGAACACCGTTGGCATTTACAAATTCACCATTAGTCAATTGCAAAAAGGCAGCTTTGCTCGGAACAGCTAACACCCTGCGATGATAACTCCAACACTTAAAACTTCAACATCTGCCTACGCCAGGTCCTTGGGAAGGACTCGATAGGTGGATCAAAATGCCAAATTCAGTCTGAACATCTGGCTGGCAGTGCAATGAACCCAGTGGTGGGATTCAAATAGGTGAACAACCGGTTCTCTGTGTGGATGCCGCTTCCGGATGTCCGTTCTGGGTTTGGGCAACAAAAAATTAGCTACCGGTTCTGCCGAAGTGGTGCGAACTGGCTGAATTCCACCACTGAATGAATCATAATAAAATAAATAAGCTAACCTTTCTCCTGCTCTCTGGTTACTCAACAGCTTCACGGAGATGTCTGTGTGCCAAGCCATGTGGAAGGCCTTCAGCGCGATGCCAAAGCCCGTCTGACTCAAGGAAATGTTCTCGAGATCTTTCTGGGAAATGATGGGCACCAGCTTAGCCATTTTAGGATGTTTATCCAGGACAACTGAAAAAGAAGTGAAGCTGTTACAGGAAAGATAACAGAAGAGAAGAGAACTGAACTGCCGATGAACGAATAGCCTTTATTGTGGACATCCCACCGACAAAACCGACAGTTTTTCAATTAAACGATAAACCCCAAATATAAAATGTTAATATAGTAAATGAAGTACAAAGTATATGGCAAGAGTAGGAGGATAAGACGTTGGCACAGATAACAAAACAGGAACTGAAAATACTTATGCGGCATTAAGATCCTAGAACTCAAGACACAGCAACAAAAAAAACCACAAACAGGCACAAGATCTAAGCGTGACTGGCTGTTCAGAGGGCAAATCTTCCTAATTTGCCACATCAAAAAAGGGCAGTGAAAGATATCTTTTTAAACTCAAAATAATCAGAATTGTGATGTCTAATGATCACGTTGTATTACAGGACAATGAAAATATAGAATCTTGATTTTCAAATTCCTGGCTCAGGAATTCTGGGAGTTGAAGTCCACGAGTCATAAAAGAGCCAAGGTTGCCTGCCCCTGCACTAATTAATTGTTCTCAACTGTCAGGAAATTTCTCCTTAATTCAAGGTGGGACTTCAACCTTCCAAGACCCCCCCAGTCTGCACAGCAGTAGCAGCACAGCAGCATCTAGAAAGTCCTACAGTTCCTTATCCCTGCCATCCTATCTTTTTTTTTTAATCCTTTTTATTAGTTTACAATATAAAATACAAACATGCAAAGAGCAAATAATAGGAAAAACAGGGGAGGGAAAAAGGAAAAGTGTAGAAAAGGAGGGAAAAAGAAAGAAAAGGTGTTGACTTCCCTTTTGTACAGTAGAATAAGATAGTAAGATCCAACCTCAACTTTTTACTTTTGCGTAAGAGTATAAACTAGCCATTTCTATAACAACAGATCTACCCAACCGGTAAAACCCAAAATCAAAGTCCCTGCCATCATATCTAGTAAGACACCTATTTTTACCCAGCCTGAATCTCCGAATTGCAACACAAACCTGGAACTCGGATCTCAGTGAAACTAAAGATCTAATTATGGATGTTTGCTCACCCATTGTAGACTGAGAAGATTAAATCAAAGATGTGCTGCCTGCAACCGGGAGGAAACTCCCACGCAGCACCACTCCGGATAAATAAAGCCAGGAAGATATTCTAAAAATAGAAATGACCATTACAAGCACATCGCTCTCAGAAGCCAACATCCAAGAAGAATTTGAACCGCGATAGGTAATCCTCAATAACAACTGAGTCCAACATTTCTGTTGCTAAGTGAGACAGTTGCTAAGCGAACCTTTCTTGCCACAGTTGCTAAGTGGATCACTGTAGCTGTTAAGCTAGTCACCCGGTTGTTAAGTGAATCTGGCTTCCCCACTGACTTGGCTTGTCAGGAGGTTTCAAAAGGGGATCCCATATTGCAACCATCACAGATATGAACCCGTTGCCAAGCAGTTTAAATTTTGACCATGTGGCCCCTGGGGATGCTGCAACGGTCATAAGTGCGAAAATGGTCATAGGTCACTTTTTTCAATGCCACTGTAACTTTGAACCTTATAAACTCCCAAGCTTCCTCCTTCCGTTATATATTTAAGATGGATAGTATTTAATATTTATTTGTTACGTATTTGTAGGGGTGTGGGTCTATACATATGTTGTGTATAGTAGTAGTAGTAATAATAATAATAATAATAATAATAATAACAACAACAACAACAACAACAACAATAATAATGTTGGAAGGGACCTTGGAGGTCATCTAGTCCAACCCCCTGCTCAGGCAGGAAGCCCTATACCATTTCAGACAAACGGCTGTCCAGTCTCTTCTTAAAAACTTCCAATGTTGGAGCACCCACACCTTCTGGTGGCAAGCTGTTCCACGGGTTAATTGTTCTAACTGTTAAACTGAATAAACTGAATAAAAAGAGCTTTGAATTCCCCACATTCTTGACAAACAAGGAAACAATTCATGGTATCAAGTTCAACTCCAGAATGTAATAGACAAAGGAGCGATTGTTTCGTGGAGTCGGTGGGACTGGCTCTTTGGTGCCTTTTGTGATCCTTCACAAAACTCTTTGGTTATGTATAGCATGTATAAACTCAGATTGTCCTTTCAAATCACAGAATCACAAAGTTATGTAGTTATAATAATAATAATAATAATAATAAAGTTGGAAGGGACCTTGGAGGTCATCGAGTCCAACCCCCTGCCCAGGCAGGAACCCTACACCATTTCAGACAAACGGCTGTCCAGTCTCTTCTTAAAAACTTCCAGTGTTGGAGCACCCACACCTTCTGGTGGCAAGCTGTTCCACGGGTTAATTGTTCTAACTGTCAGGAAGTTTCTCCTTAGTTCTAGGTTGCTTCTCTCCTTGGTTAGTTTCCATCCGTTGCTTCTTGTCCTGCCTTCAGGGGCTTTGGAGAAGAGCTTGACTCCCTCTTCTTTGTGGCAGCCCCTGAGATACTGGAACACTGCTATCATGTCCCCCCTCGTCCTTCTCTTCATTAAACTAGACATACCCAATTCCAGCAGCCGTTCCTTATATGCTTTAGCCTCCAGTCCCCTAATCATCCTTGTTGCTCTTCTGTGCACTCTTTTTAGAGTCTCAGCATCTTTTTTACATCGTGGTGACCAAAACTGGATGCAGTATTCCAAGTTGTGGCCTTACCAAGGCATTGTAAAGTGGTATTAATACTATGTTTTAGGTGTGTGTCATGTATGTGTTTCACTTTGAGAGCGGGCAACTAAATTTCATTTTTTGATGGGTGCCATTGTGCCCAGTAAAAAAATGACAATAAAGGTTATCTTATCTAACAGTCAGGAAGTGAATTGTTGAGGACTACCTGTAATTTAGAAGCAAGAGAAGGGGGCTTTTCCTCCAGAGTTGGTTCCAATTTTCCATAACCGCTTCCTGGCAAAGGAAATTGGAGGAAAAAATAGACTTTTTCTTATCTTCTCTTTTTGACGCATCTGGGAAGTCCCAGGGACCAAAAGTTTAGATATGGGAATTGATTAACAGAGTCAGATAAGCTTCTATGAGAAGCTTCTGGACCAATTTTTTTCCCTGCAATGTTTATTTTCCTCTCCTGCTTTTCTACTCCAGTTGTCTTCCCTGCCTGCTATCTTTGACAACAACAGAATGAAAAAAGTTATATATTAAATTATACACTTATAACTTATTTTAATATATGTTATTAAGCTGAAGCCTAGACATATATACAGGTAGTCCTTGAATTCTGGAGTTGAATTCCACAGGTCTTAAAGTTGCCAGGTTATGATGGCCCTGCTAAAGTATAAGATTTTCGGTCTAAGCTCTATTGCTGTGTGGATTAACCAACGCTGTAAATTATAGCAAAAATCAGGATTGAACTGTTCAGGGGTTTATTAACCTTCTTCCCACATGTGTTTAGCATTTTAAATGTGAGCTATTCCATAATCCATAATACAGTTTAATTATGGACCACCTCAAATCAGCTAGGTCTCTTGATATTGTCTCCACAGCACATCCGGGATCATGTTTTTCCAATTTCCTTATATGTTTTCTGGAGGGGGGAGGGAGATAAGATTTCATCCTCTTCATTTCACTCTTTAAACTCTCTCCTAAAAGGTTGAAATCACAACACGTGTGGCGTGCTCTGAGCTTTAGAGTCCTGTGTGAACCAAAACATCACGTCTTCTTCCACAAATCAAGGTGACCTGATTTGCACGGATATTTTATGGCGACTTCCTGGTCACCACGATGTAAAAAAGATGCTGAGACTCTAGAAAGAGTGCAGAGAAGAGCAACAAAGATGATGAGGGGACTGGAGGCTAAAACATATAAGGAACGGTTGCTGGAACTGGGTATGTCTAGTTTAACGAAGAGGGGAGACATGATAGCAGTGTTCCAGTATCTCAGGGGCTGCCATAAAGAAGAGGGAGTCAAGCTATTCTCCAAAGCGCCTGAAGGCAGGACAAGAAGCAACGGGTGGAAACTGACCAAGGAGAGAAGCAACTTAGAACTAAGGAGAAACTTTCTGACAGTTAGAACAATTAACCAGTGGAACAACCTGCCTCCACTTCACCACTCACGAGGTTGTGACCTTCAAAAATTCTTCTCTGACCTGTCGGCAAACAGACTTTACCACATCCCAAGGACGGACCCGTCCCCCAACCTGATCTTCTGGAGGTTCCAGGGAAGGTTGAAATAATAATAATAATAATAATAATAATAATAATAATAATAATAATAATAATAATAATAATAATAATAATAATCTACATAACTTTGTGATTCTGTGATTTGAAAGGACAATCTGAGTTTATACATGCTATACATAACCAAAGAGTTTTGTGAAGGATCACAAAAGGCACCAAAGAGCCAGTCCCACCGACTCCACGAAACAATTGCTCCTTTGTCTATTACATTCTGGAGTTGAACTTGATACCATGAATTGTTTCCTTGTTTGTCAAGAATGTGGGGAATTCAAAGCTCTTTTTATTCAGTTTAAGAAGGGAGGGGAATTAGCAAAGTAAATCAAAGTTAAGTCTCTTAGGGTTTGTTTGTTTTTTTTAACTGTTTACTTTGGACTGGAGAACTGAAGGTTTGCTGTTATCTTTTATCTCCTATCAGGAACCAAACCATGGTCTCTAGACCACAAAGCAAAGCAAACAGAGTCAGACCGTGTCACCCTTCCTGTTCAGAAATGATTTGCTTCAATGTTTGTTTTCTTCACCTCCGCTTTCATTTTTCCTTTCCTGTCTCATCAATTAAGAACTGACTCTGGAGGCAAGAAGCTGGACTACAGTGATACCTCAGTACTTATCGTTAATTGGTTCTGGGAAAGAAAGAAAGAAAGAAAGAAAGAAAGAAAGAAAGAAAGAAAGAAAGAAAGAAAGAAAGAAAGAAAGAAAGAAAGAAAGAAAGAAAGAAAGAAAAAAGAGAAAGACTGGTACAAAAGAAGCTCTTGATGAGCTGGTTGATCTAGGTCCCAGCACAAACTTGAAAATATTGTTCCAACCACGAACACCATTCTCCCAAGGTCAACGTAACATAACAATTAAAACATGGAGTCAGGACCAAAAAGGGTCCAGATTCAAACCCCATTTAGCCAAGATATCTCTGGGCCACTCCTGGCTGGCTTTGCAAACTTCACATGGCTAACTTTTAAGCAGAGTTTGTGGATGAAGCCACAATGGGCACAACAGACCTAAAAATGAGGGGGAAACCTACACAAAAAAAGAAAATCATAGAATCATAGAATTGGACGGGACCTTAGAGGTCCAAGCTTCTCACCTAGGTAGGAATCCTCATGCCATTTCAGATAAATGATTGTCCATCTTTCTTGAAAACTTCCAGCAATGGAGCAATTTCAGAAACAGGGGAAATCCCTAAAAGGTGTTGAAATTTCAAGAAAAAATTGTTGTCATCCCCACATCTCTTGCAATATCTAGCAGCAGAGTGAGCTGGAGAAATACTTGAAGATGCGGGGGGGGGGGGCATACTGCAAGCCACAAGGAGCCCATCTTTTATTTACTTCATTTGGCCAGCATCCTTAGCAATAAACACCGAACCATTGAAGCAACGAAAAGTGTGCAGAGAAGAGCAACAAAGATGATAAAGGGTCTGAAGGCTAAACTAGACAATGAACGTTTGAGGGAGCTAGATATATCCAGCCTATTGAAGAGAAGGATCAGGGGAGGTATGATAACTGTCTTCCAGAACTTGAGGGACTGTCACAGAGAACAGAAGGTTGACTTATTCTCCAAAGCACCAGAGGGCAAAACAAGAGTGGATGGAAACTTGTCAAAGAGAGATCCAAGCTAGAAGGAGGAGAATTTTTCTGACACTGAGAACAACTAATCAATGGAACAGCTTGCCTCCTGAAGTTGCGAGTTGCCTCCATCACTGAAGATGTTCAAAACTAGACTGGACAACCATTTTACTGGGGTGGTGTAAGGCTCCTGACTTGAGCAGGGGGCTGGACTAGAAGACCTCCAAGGTTCCTTCCAGCCCTAGGATTCTATCTTTTATGAAGCCTACATTGTGACAGATAGCACAATGCCTGCTTCATCCCTGGAACTTTGTCCCCCCCTAGCCATCTATGTTCTCAGCAAATCAGACTGGCAAAGGCTGTGTAGATGCACACTAAACATCTCATATGCAGGTTCTTTCTGTCTCCAAAGGTGTCTATAGGACATCATAATAATAATAATTAAAAAATGAAGATGGTGGCTGCAACCGTTCATATTTTTTAATGTGCATTGCACTTGAGACACACAAATAATGAGTGGACCTTCCATTGCAACATCATGGCCAATGTCTTGAACTTGTTTTGCCCTACTCTTCGGTCCTCTATTGCTGTCCTTGTGTTAAACTGCAGATTTTAAATCCCTCAAGGCAAGGTTACTCAGCAGTTCTGCGATGGCTGACTAACAATCATTAACATATTTTATTAGGATCATCATCACTGAGGACATGACAAAAACACAACATTACAATGCATTAACAGTCACCAACAAGCAATAGGAAGCTCAACCAATAAGTGAAACGAAAAGCAAAATCAAAACCAACTAAAACCAAATCCTTTTCCTATCTCAAACAGGAACCAGGACCTTTTTTTGCAAAACCTCTAAAACAAGGAAATCCTTCAACTTGTGACCTCAAAACCCACCATTCCTGACCAAAGGTGGTTTAAGATATCCAAACCATCGTCTAACTTTTCCAAACCATGAATTGGCAGTTTTTCTCAATAGGAAAGGAAATGCGTTTGTTGACCATTGTAAAAGGCAGTCGTGATTTTCCTTTTGTGCAAAAAACAGCTTTATACTACTAATCTCTAGATTCTAGAAAATTCTTCTCCGACACTAGTTTAAACATGCCTACTTGTAAGTAAGACCACCCCATTCTATAGGACTTATTTTTAGTTGATTTTCCAAACTTGTAATTGGCCATAAAAATGGTTTCTTAAACCAGTTTGGGATGAACCCTTTGCATTATTATTATTATTATTATTTTGCAGAAAACAAAAGGATTGAAAAGATTACATTCCATTTCAGTCTAACTGTAAACAAGAATTAGGGGGGAAAATCATTTAGGTAGGGGAATAAAAAGGAAACTTTAAAAGACCCTTTTTAATCAGCTGATTTATTTTTCCTGAACATAAGAAAAGGAATCCACTTAAAGTCACTCAGCAATACTGTACATGTCAAGGTAATAACCATAGAAGTGATTGGACCGTGATTCAACCACTTTGAAACGAAGTAGCCCAGACATTTTGACAAGAAAGAAATAAAAAATAAAAATTCCCCT